AGCTTCTTCCTCTGAAGGGAAAGGGGAGTCTGTCGTTCAGTGTCTATGACAGTGGTCTTCAGACTTGCCTTGTGTCACCCCCTACCAGAGATGGTGATTCACTGGGTCCGGAGTTCTGCTCGATTTTATAAAAAGCTCCCATGGTGATTCTGATGAGCCAACAGGGTTAAGAAGCATTTACCTAGTGAATAACACAGCAGTCATAAATTGTACCCGTGATGTTTGTTTGAGAATTATTTTATGAGAGAATAATGAAACTGTCAGCTTTATGGAAACATGCCTGAACTTAAATGGTCTGTTTTGTTCCAGGAATTTCAGATAATTTTCAACATTTGGTTTTATCTCTGACTAAATACTCTACATTGAGCTGCCATCTGAGTCTGAGAAAGTGATCTTGGGTTCATTTTTGAAAATGTTAGGAATAAGGGGCAAACTTAGCTTGTAAGATTTCTCCCACTTCACATTGAAAATGGTGGATGTAGGAAGATGAAAGGTGTTAAATCTTCTATGTCAGGCAAACTGTTCCTGGGTCCTACTTTGTAAGCTGTTTCTCCCCCGAGATTTCTGTGGACTTCATGATAGTATGTTTGCTTGAGAGGTTCATGCAACTCCTAAAACTTCACACTAATTTCCATTCTTGTGTTTTCAGACATGAAACTTGCAGCAATTCATAACAGCCATTTAGAGACATAATAATACTTTCTCTAGAATAATAAACCTGAGTAATCTTTCTCATACCTTAAATTTATATTAAACTTACATTTTCTCTTCTAGGTATTCTCATGGGAGCAGTTATAAAAATTATAGAGTTTAAAAAACTCGCAAATTGGAAGGTAGGTTCATTTTTAACATAATTATGGGTTTTTTGGTTGTTCTTAATTTTAGCAACACTGATAGTTATGGTGGTTCTCTTATCAATGAAGTTTATATTATCACATTAATTTTTTAACATTCTATTAGGGTTGATACCTTTACAACTTAGCTTGTTTAAATATGTATCTGTTTCAAGTTAACATGGAGCACTAAATGTTATGTTATTTATGCACATTTTTATAATCTTAAGGGAAGGCTCTAATTAGCATTATTTATTTATTTATTTATTTAACCTTAGAGAAACACCAATTGCTTGCCTCCCTCACATGTCCCGACCAGGAATCGAACCCAAAACCTGGGTATGTGCTCTGATTGGGAATCGAACCTGCCACCTTTTGGTGTACAGGATAACATTCCAACCAACTGAACCACACTAGCCAGGGCTCTAATTAGTGTTAAATATTAAACAATGTTGATAGCTTCCAATTCTATACTCACAGCTGAGAATAATAAAACATACTTGTCCAACACTGTAGAGCTTACAGTATGCTTTACAAACTATAGCTCATGCTGTCCCCATGATATCCGTGGGAGGTAGATTGAGTATTATCATCACCCCATTTTTACAGATGAGGAAAGTAATGCCCGGAGAAGTCGGGACATGTCCAACGTCACAGAACTATGAAGTGGCTGAGTTGAGTCATGTGTCCACACCCTCTGGCCCTGTATATTCTATATTTTCTCCATGGCACCATGCTGGCCTGAGTTTGTGGAGGTCCGTGCCTTCGTGTTTACACAGTGGTCATTAGAGAGTGAGCATCATCTTGTGGCGTAAGGACTAATTGAAACTTGAATTTAAACTTGAGCATTCATATTGAGTAGAGAGATTAACAAGTGTGTTACAGAATGGAATTGTGAATGGAAATAAGGTCCATTTCAAAATATTAAAGAATTGGATGGTTAAAATTTATCACATTTGAGCTCCCCCTGGGGTTAATCTGCCTGCTAAGCTGTAGAGCAGTGGTCGCCAACCTTTCGGACCTCACTGACCACCAGTGATCTGCGGACCACCAGTTGGCGACCGCTGCTGTAGAGTATACACTTTGTAAAACAAGCCATATGACCATTGTTTGAAGCACAATTTGAAATTGTTTTACATAATATTCAGGAAATATTATATGTTTAAATGAATTCTCAAGTGTATATTCAGCTTCTAATAGTACAGAACCCCCCTTAGCTGAGCTGAGGCTGGGCAGGCCCCACTGGAGCACATTGTGAATGGTATCTCTGCCTCCTGCAACTTGTTAAATTTAACCATCCTTGCTGGGGCTCATCCTAGGCTGGGGGGTACAGACTGGAACCCTTTCTCTCCTTTTAGGCTTGTCAGAGCCTGATCTGTACCTAACACATTTTGTTTCATTTGATTTAAAAGCAGTTGATCAAAATTTAAATTGATTTAAAAACAATTTAAAGTTGTTTTATTTTTAAATATTATTAATCCATATAAAATTCTGGAATTTTCACATAAAAATCTGAACTCCTAGCTTCTCTTGAAAAAGCATCTCTCTTGCCCTAACCGGTTTGGCTCAGTGGATAGAGCATTGGCCTGTGGACTGAAGGGTCCCAGGTTCGATTCCGGTCAAGGGCATGTACCTTGGTTGCAGGCACATACCCAGTGGGGGGTGTGCAGGAGGGAGCTGGTCGATGTTTCTCTCTCATAATGTTTCTCTCTCATCGATGCTTCTAACTCTATCCCTCTCCCTTCCTCTCTGTAAAAATCAATAAAATATATTAAAAGAAAAAGCAGCTCTCTTAACAGCAGCCTGCATTCTTCCCAGCAGAAATACAAGGCACCGAGAGGCAGCTGCTCCCCTGGTAGGCACCATGTGGCCCCTGGAAACCTTTGAGTTGTGACCCTGCTCTGAGTGGTGAGAGGAGAGGAGGGCAGGTTATCTCACACTTTTAGTTTTACATGCTTCAGTGTTAGTGAATTTATTTTTACAGATGTTTCAAGTTAAAATAATAGTAATACATTTAATAGTACAGACAAGTGAGCCAAAGTTGGGTGATTAATTAAGTGCCTGCAGAGCCATCCAGGCAACCAACGCTTGACCTCAGAAAAGGGCAAGGTTTCTAGCGGGGGTGATAGGGGCAGGCTTCCTGGAAGACCAGTGTTTGTATAACGCTGAAGCGGGAAGCAGGACACCTCTTTGGAACCTGGGTGCCACAGGGAGCAATTGGAGAGAAGAAAAGCAAGGAGCTTGTTGTTTTTTTCTCCAAGTTCTATTTTCAGGCTGTCTCACTGGGCCTGCCTTCTACTGTATTGTCATATGTTCAATATATTTCTCTAAATCAATTGCTTTTTTATTTATATACATTTTTGTAGCAGTTTTTTTAAAGCTTTATTGTGGTAAAATATACATAACATAAAATTTTCCATTTTAGCTATTTTCAATTGTACAATTCAGTAGTATTAAATACATCCACAATGTTATATAATCATCACCACTATCTATTTTCAGAAGTTTTTCATTAGTGGAAACTCAATCCATTAAACAATTCCCCATTCCTTCCTCCCTATTTGACCAGGAATTGAACTGTGACCTCCTGGTTCATAGATTGATGCTCAAGCACTGAACCACACTGGCTGGGCCCTCCCACTTTCTATTCTTTTTTTTTAGTAGCCCTATTCTACTTTCTGTCTTAATGAATTTACCTATTCTAGTTGCCAAACGTACGTGAAATCATATAATATTTAGCCCTTTGTGTCTGACTAATTTTACTTAGCATGTTGTTTTTAAGGTTCATCCATGTTGTAGCATATATCAGAATTGCCTTTCTTTTTGTGGCTGAATGATGTTCCATGTAGGTTTGTACCATACTTTATCTATTCATCCGTTGATGAACCCTTGGTTTGTTTCCACCTTTTAGCTGTTGTACATAATGCTTCAATGAACTTTATTTTAAAGGAAACATCATAGTACTGTTTTAAGTGGAAAACCAATATCATTTTTATAAATAAACACTATAAAAACAAAGGAATACTGAAGTCTCTAAGGCAGGGGTGGGCAAACTTTTTGACTCGAGGGCCTCAATGGGTTCTTAAACTGGACCGGAGGGCCGGAACAAAAGCATGGATGGAGTGTTTGTGTGAACTAATATAAATTCAAAGTAAGCATCATTACATAAAAGGGTACGGTCTTTTTTTTTTTTTTTTTTAGTTTTATTCATTTCAAATGGGCCGGATCCGGCCCACAGGCCGTAGTTTGCCCACGGCTGCTCTAAGGCCAAGCCTGTCGAGAGGTCAGCACACTGGAGAGAGGCTGCACTCACTGTGGCACCAGGCTGAGGTGGCTTTGACTTAACTGGGATTGAAAAAGAATCCAAAAGTACTGACTTTCTCAGTCTGCGGGGTCAGCGGTATTTGACACACACTTCTCAGGTGCCACTGAAAATCATCTCAGACTATTTTGGGGGAGATGTTGCCAAAGGAACCAGGGACCTTTCTGAAACACTATTCACCGCAAAGTGGTGGATGCATTTCCTGTGGCCGCTGTAACAAACTGCCACAAACTGGGTGACTTAAAACAACTGGGATTATTCTCTCATCGCTCTGGAGGCTAGAAATCTGAAATGAAGGTGTTGGCAGAGCCTTTAGGGAGCAAATCCAGGCTCCCAGGGAGAGTCCTTCATTGTCTCTTCTGGTGGCCCAAGTATTCCATGGCTGTGTCTCTGCCTTAGTCCATCTTAACACGGCCTTCTCTGTGTCTGAGTGTCCTTTTCTGTCCCTAATGAGAACACTGTCATTGGGTTTGGGACTCATCCTAATCCAGGATGATCTCATCAGGATCCTTCCCTTAATTCCATCTGCAAAGACCCGATTTCCAAATGAGGTCAGACTCTGAGGTTCCAGGTGAACATGAATTGGGGCTGGAGGACACTATGAAACCCATTGTAGGTGGGTTCGCCTTCTTCCCAGGGAAGGGTTAGTTTCTGAAACTCCAAAAGAATCTGTACAGTGGCTCCACTGCACAGATCCTGAGAATTGGTTGCCCCACAAACCCAGAGATCAGCCTGTTTCTTTTCACGTGGTCCCAGCCTGAGTCATGAGCTTGTTGTACAGGCAGTTATTTTAAGACTTAATCAGAAGTCATTATTTGCTTCTATTTTGAGCCTTTCTTAAATGCTATTTTAGTCTTTATGGTAACAGCTGTACATTTTTAAGAATACATTTAGTTATTCTTTTGAATAGAGAATTTTGACAAGAAACCAGACTATCAAGATTGTGGCATAGAAATTTTCATATGAAAAATGGCCTAATTTTACAGTATTTTATGACTACATGTGTATTACATGTAGTCATTTTGGGCTTGAAGACCAATATGTGTTTTCCCCCAACCCACCAACAATTAGAGAAATATGTTAACATAGAAAATCCAACTATTATTTCATTCCACTGAAGATGGTAATATCTAGAAATACCTTTCATAATTGCACTTAATATTGGAATCTGGAAGCATGGTGAGGGACTGGCTTGATAGCCATGTCCCAAGTTGTGAGGGCATCAGGAGGGGACTCTTATCTCAGTCAGATGGGAAAATGGCAGAGTTACCTGTGACAGAGAAAAGGCAGAGCCGTCATAGGCACGTGGAGGGTTTACTTTTCCTCTCAGTGAATTGTTTTAGGGCTTACCATTTTGGAGGGTTCCATTTGTGGGCTTGTTTTTTAAAGTGTTCTGCTTGAATTGAAAAGTTTTTTACATTAAAATTAATGTTCTTTCCTTAGTAAAGGATAAAAAGCATACAACTGTGTGGAAGCGATTCATTCTGCTTTTTCTTTTGCTAGTCACCTTTTAAGCTCACCTTACTTTTTAAAAATATATATATATATTTATTGATTTCAGAGAGGAAGAGGGAGGGAGAGAGAGAGATAGAAACACCAATGATGAGAGGGAATCGTTGATCAGCTGCCTCCTACACAACCCCCACTGGGGATCGAGCCCACATCCCAGGCATGTGCCTTGACTGGAATCAAATGCTGGACCCTTCAGTCGCAGGCTGATGCTCTATCCACTGAGCCAAACAGGCTAGGGTTGTCTTACATTGTTAAATACATTTTTTTTTTAGTGGTGGTGGCGTTAATTTTTATTTTTTTGTCTGTCCTCCTGCTTGGTTGTTTTTATCAGGTAGTTATTTAAGCATGGTATGTTTCCACTGGGCCAGGCCTGAGAGAAGAATTACTTTGGCTCTTCATTGATAGATTTAGTTCTTAATTACACAAATTCCACCCCTCTAAAAATACCCATTTTATGTTTACAGGAAGAAGAAATGTTTCGTCCAAATATGTTTTTCCTTCTATTGCTTCCACCTATTATATTTGAGTCAGGATATTCACTACACAAGGTAAGACTCCGGCATATATTAGTGTTTTTGGTCTGGGTGGCTTCCTGTGTTGGTAAGGCAAGTTCCTTAGAAGCTTGGGTGTTGATTTAGCAGTGGTGTCTCCGTGTACACATCCTGGGTATGCTGGACTGGACTGCCTGACTTGTGGACAGGAGCAGACATGGTCAATGGGCTGCTTTCATGGTTTCAGGCAGTGTGGCTTATTAAACTAGTGTATTCCATAGAAGGGAGCTTTGCCTAGGAAGATGGCCAAAGTGATACTAAGTGGTACACGGATGACACAGTGACTCTTCTTGTTGGACACAGACTAGCACATGTTAAAAGGATGGAGTTTGTCCTGGGTGAACAGGCACATGTAGTCTGGGCCTTTTGATTCTCTTAGCTCATCAAGTGGGGCTGTTCTCCCTCCTTAGGCCCCTTCATCCTTCAGTATCTCCCCTCTCAGTACCCTGCCCTGGGCCTCAACTCCCAGCTTGTATTCCCCATCTTCCCCCGCTCCCCAGTCCAGCTGCTCTTCATAGGCTGGAGCCCCATCTTTCTGCCTCATCTTCTAGCTCCTTCTGGCACATTCCCACACTCCCATAGTTTTTCTGCTCATCCGGGCTCCACCCTTAAGAGTGGCACTGCTGGCACCTGCATAGTTCCCTGCTTTGCCTTGTAATTTCTGGTCTCTGTCCTCCAACTTCCAGTGGGACTCTTTCTGCCTGGGCGGGAGTTTCTCCCTTTTCAGCTAGTTTTGTGTGTGCGCATGGGTTTTTTTTCTTTGCCTATGAGTTTTCTTTAAATGTAAATGTATTTAAGTTTTAAAATACACGGTTCAACTTAAAATGTTAGTAATAAAGTTATTTTGTGAGTATGGTAAAAAATTATGAAGGTTGAAAGGAATAAGATTTGGCCTACCATTGGAAAGAGGAAAGAGCCTGGGCTTTGGAGCCAGAGACCAAGTTCTAATCATGTGCTGCCCCCTATGGATTGCTTCTGGGTACAGCAGAAATTCAAAACAAAAAACAAAAACAAAACACTACCTCTCAGATTGCTTTCAAATTTACATTAGCCCTAGCTGGTTTTGCTCAGTGGATAGAGCATCAGTCTGTGGACTGGTGGGTCCTGGGGTCAATTCCAGTCAAGGGCACATGCCCAGGTTGCAGTCTCAATCCCCAGTAGGGGGTGCGCGGGAGGCAGCTGGTTAATGATTCTCTCATCATTGATGTTTCTATCTCTCTCTCCCTCTCCCGTCCTCTCTAAAATCAGTAAAATTATTTTTTTTCAGAAATTTACACTAGATGAAAGAATATGTGCAAAGCACCACCCATTACGTTAAATAAATGGTAGTGCTTCTTGTTATTAATAATACTTATTATTACTAATATTAATATTATTAGTAGTAGGATGAACAATAACATAATAAAGACTTAATTTGTCAAGAAAGTTTTGGCTAAAACATACAAATTAATCTCTAATTTTTCCCCTGGGTACCAAAGCAAAAATATTCTAAGATGTTCAGTTCAGAATTTTTAAATTGTTATTTTATTATTATTATTTAGTCCTTACCAGAGGATTTTTTTTATTGATTTTCAGAGAGAGTGGAAGGGAGGGTGGTGGGGAGGAGAGAGAGAGAGAGAGAGAGAAACATCAACATCAGAGACACATTGATTGGTTTCCTCCTGCCCGCACCCCAACCAGGATTGGGGATCTAATTGCAACTGAGATATGTGCCCTGGATCGAGAATTGAACCCATGACCCTTTGGTTCATGGGCTGATGTTCTAACCACTGAGAAAAACCAGCCAATGCTATTTTATTGTACATCTATCCACCTAAAATGTGAAAAGGAAGTTTAATTTAAAAAAAAAATTCCCAAGTCTTATAAATTACTGACACCAGGTAATTGTTAAAAAGAAAACAAGCAAGGAGAAATTGAAGGTCAACATCTTTTATTCTTTCATTTCATAAATAATTCTTTAAAAAAAACTATCAGCAGATTATGAAAATATTTAAAAACAAATTTGAGGAAATTATTTTGATTTTGACTTAAAAACGTAACACTGATTACTATGTTAGAGCTTGGAAAGTTTTATTTTCTAATTTTTTGAGGGAAGGAAAATAAACTTGTTAAAAATATGAGGAAAATAATAGTTTTTAAAAAATCATTTCTTGGGATAGTGAACACATAATACAATACAGATGATGTATTACAGAATTGTACACCTGAAACCTATATAATTTTATTAACCAATGTCACCCCAATAAGTTCAATTGAGAAAAACAAACAAAAAAATAATCTCTTTGAAGATGGCTTTCCAGCAAAGAATGTGATAATTTATGTGAAAGGTACTAATGTGACTTGGAAATGTGAATTCAGAACTGTCTACTTCTTACCTTCCACCAAAGAAGATAGGAAGTCAACTCTGAATGTTTTATTTTAATATTGCTCTATTTGCAAATGTAAATTTGGACTTGGAATAAAAAATTCAGTAAGACTATTCTAAGTTGATATGCATTAGGTAGACAGGTATTAGCTCTTTAAATTATTAATATCATACAAAGGATAGAATGATAAGTATGTCAGAAACAGATATATTCACTTTGTATACCAAAGGCAAATTCTTATAGTGTGGTAACTTGTATTTGGGTAAATTTTCAATATCCAGATTAATATTAACCAACTACATATATTTATCAGAATTAGGTCCTTATAAATAGACCAAGACTTAATTTAATCTATCCTATATAATAAAAGCCTAATATGCAAATCAATCAAATGGTGGAACGACCAGTTGCTATGATGAGCACTGACCACCAGGGGGCAGATGCTCAACACAAGAGCTGCCCCCAAGCCCGCAGGCCCCAGGCCAGTCAAGGCGGCTGCCAACGGGGACCCCCAATCGCCCCACCGGTCGCCCCACAGATGGGCCCTGATTGCCAGCCAGGCCTACGGACCCTACCTGTGCACAAATTTCGTGCACTGGGCCTCTAGTTTTAAAATAACAAAAGCAGCTTTTTGCAAAGACAAACTCATAGATGAAAGCCTTTTGTTTAGAAAAAAACAATCATTGTGTTTGACTTGAGTTATTTGAAAGTTCCTTGTGCGCTAAGGATTGATATGCCAAGCAAAGTAATTGAATGCCAGATTATGGGCAGCAGAATAAAAATTGCAATGACTAAAGCAAAGAAACTTCCTGAAGGAGACAGGATTAGTGAGTTGTCAGGGTTAAGCTGAGCACACCCTTTTGAAGTGAGGTTTAAAATGTCAGTCCCTGTTTTCTATGACTTGACAGCTCCTGAGTGAAAAGATGGGATCCCTTGTCCACGCTCATAATCAAGGGGTTGTCAATGTTCCCTGGTGTTGCTCCTAAGTGTGTCCACAGGATTCTAATAAACAGCTAATTTTCTTGATTTTATGGAAATGTAAAAGATGCTACCATGCTACTTGGACTCAAATATTTTCTCTTAAATGCCATAGAGTATAGATGGAAATATATTTCATCTGTCATATTTATATTTGATGATGATAGAGTGAAATAAAATTGTTTAAAAGACCTAGAAAGCAGAAAGGAGTTTCTGATATAATAATCTACTGTCTTAACACTCTTTGTAGTAATGCACCTTTTCTTAATTAAACAAAAAATTATAATTGTATAAACTTTGGACTTTGATCAGACATGGAACACGATTAATTACTTTGGTACCTACTCAACTGGGCATCTTTCACCTGACAAGCATTATTTTCAGTGACGTTGTACAAAAGCAGATGTGGTCATTGCTCCTGTTGAGCCTGCAGCCTAGTGGGAAAGACAGATATCAGTCAAATCGTTACATAAATAAATGTAAATTTTCAGCCATATCAAGTGCTGCCAGGAGAGGGTCATTATGCATTGAGAGCATAGATCAGGATCTGACCTTGCTAAGGGATCAGAGAAGGCTTCCCTCAGGAAGAGTGTCCTGAGAACTTAGGGTGATTAGAGTTCACCAAGCAAAGAGAAAGGAAGAATGGTCCAAACCCAGGGAGCACAGTACGGTTGAAGAACAAAAAACCACCAGTGTGACTGGCATCCAGAAAACAAAGGGGAGGATGTTAGAGGCCTTCCCTCTAACCATCCAGGCTTTGGTTGGGTTTTAGCTGCATTTCGAGTGGAAGTGGGGGTCAGAGTGAAGGTAGCACAATCAGATTTGTCTTTTGCAATGATCATTCTGGAAGCCCTTGGAGGGCAAGGAGCCAGGAATGGTTGAGAGTTGCTAGAAGCTGTAAAAGTGGTCCTGGGGAGAGATGATGGCGGCTTGGGCAAGGGCGGTGGAGATAACGATAGAGAGAAGCAGGGAGATGTGAGTGTCATGGGGAAGGTAAAAGCCACAGGCTCTGTATTAGATGTAGGCATGAGAGAAGACTCCCAGATTCCTAGCTTGCCAAATAGGTGGTGCCCTTCACAGAGAATCAAGCATGTCAGGAGGGCCAGGTGTGGGGGCCATGCCTTCATTGACTGGACCAGTTTTTCTAACCATTTCTCTCATTTCTCCTCTTTCAAACAGGGTAACTTCTTTCAAAATATTGGTTCCATCACCTTGTTTTCTGTTTTTGGTACAGCAATTTCTGCTTTTGTAGTAGGTGGAGGAATTTATTTTCTGGGTCAGGTAAGAAAAAACATCTGAAAATTTTTGAAAATCTTACATTCTTAGAGCTAGTGCAGGGAGGTGAAGTAGGAACACCTCCTGGGGCCTAGGGTTCACATTCAAAGTAAATGCTCCCCTTGAGGGAAATCCAGACTTATATGAGGCACAGTAAAGCCATGCTAAACTTGTGTTTCAACTCAGTGTCCTTGAAGAGCTTTGATCTCTGGAGTTGAGTGAATTTTTCCCATAATCCTCAAAAGTATTTGTTTGCTCTTACTAGCAAATCAATATCGCCTTATGTTGGAATGCCTAAAAATAAAGCAGACTAGATATCACCAAGATCTTCAGATTATAACAATATCAGTTGTGTTGTTAGGTATACCGAATCAGGGTTAAATGCTCATTTTTAAATTGGAATTTGTGTTTCAAAAATTACCGATGATTCTGAATATGTTCACTCAATTCTAACTCATCCATCTGTAGAGTTATACACTCTGGATTCTCCACCATTGCTAAACCAGTTCCCAATATCATCAATTGGGTGTTTGAGGTTCAAATTATTTGAATTCATTCAAATCAGACCCACCTAGGAAGGTAGTATCTGTGGTTTTGCATTATGCACATTTGTGCAGGTCAGTTCTCTTCCTTTATGGTCAGAAGCAGGAAGTTTACCTGCCCCAGTTCTGTAAAGTTCGAGGTTCAGACAGCTGGGCGACAGGCAGATTTCTCCTATTTGTATCAGATGTGCTTGCTTCCTTTGATGGCTGTAGGCTAAAGCCCATTCCATCTGATTTCACCTTCACTGCTGCCTCAGTGGCACCAGAATAAATGTCTGTCCTGCAACCTTCTTCATTGCCCAGCTTCTAGTACCAAATGGTAATAAACTTTAGAGAAGAAAACTCTTCTAAATTTGGCTTGAAAAATGTGGCATTCTTTGCCATACTTCTGTGGTATGATAATTGGATGCATGTCTAAACTAAAACTTGGGACTTTTTAAAAATGTTCAAGTGGTTTGAGGACTGAAGATGAATGTCCTTATCCATTTGTGATAAAGCACTAATGGACATTTTAATCTTCTTGGCTGTTCTCCAGGGGATTTTTTTCTGTCTGTGTGTTTGTGTGTTTTATTTTACAGGCTGATGTAATCTCTAAACTCAACATGACAGACAGGTAAATCTTTCATACTCTAACACTACGTGACTACTTTTGAGACACAGGAAAGAGTTCTCCGTATTAGTTCCTGGGTGTGGTACCTCTCTGTTCTTTTTCTCTCTTTGTTTTGCTGATGATTTCTCTGTAGAATCTATTCTGAATTAATTCGGGTCCCTGGAATTAATCAAAACTAATCAAGGAAATTTTGAAGATCCCTAGTCAGACATTGCTGATTGGAATGATTAATTTAGTTTAAGCTCTGGAAGGAATAACTCTTGAGTTAACTGCCCCCCAAACACATACACACCACATGCTGCACCATTGTTTTATTGTAAGAATTCTCTTCAACTGGATTTATATCTTTTCAATGGCCACAATGAAAGTCGTCTTTTCTTTGATTTATTAGGGATGAAGGGGGGAGTGAGGTGTGAATATTTTTGCTCTGAATTTCCACCAAATTGGGTGGAGGTCCACTAGGGGAGCAGATGGGGCCAAGGGTTCTACTGCGCATGTCCTCCTCATTCTGAAATTACTCCAGTGAGCTCTCAGAGCTGCTGCCTTGGAGCCCAGTCCAGGAACTTCCATAATTAGCTTAGCAAGAGGCCACCTAGGCAGCTGTCTCTCAGATGGTGCCAGATCTAGTACTGAAAAAGTGCACAAGCAGAGTTCAGCCTGGTTTCCCTGCTCTGAAAGTCCAGTGAGGATGCAGCCCTGCTCTGTGTTTCTGCATCCACAGCACTTGGTTCTGTCCTGTGGCACAGCTCGGGGAGCACTCAGGAAGCGGGAGCACTGAGCCCGAGTCCCTCCCATCCGGTCAGCCAGAGCTTTCAGCCTCTAGCAGCACCTTGGGGACTCGAATCTTGGAGCCCTTTCCATGGGCAACATGCCCCTGATAACATTAGGTCCGATCTCTTTTCTCCCAGGCACATAAATTTCAGTGTTTTGGTTATAAGATAGTTTTGATATGTAAACAAATAGCAAAAGTCACATTCCTATTCCATAAAGAACTGGAAATAAAACAGAACTGGTGCCCTGCATTTTGTAGGTATGTTGCCAGTGAAAAGAAATGCCCCGAGCCCAATCCAAGTCAAAGAAGAGTTCCCAGTGTTCAGTCCTTCAACCTGTTTGGGGGCAACTGGTTAGAGACACAGAAAATGCTTGATAAATTCTTATAAAATTGAATTGGGCAGATGCTTGGGATGTTCAGGTGAGAGGAGTAAGAGAATTGTTCCGTAGACAAGCAGAATAACAGCCAGGTGGAGGTTCTCTCTCTGGGTGCAGACGCTTCGTTTCCTGTGGGAAGTGACTGCCCCACAGCTGGGGAGGTTCTGCAGGGCCTGGCGGAGCGCGCCACAGGGGAAGCTGGCCCGGTGGCGCAGGGAACCAGAGGGCACGCCTGTCTGAAAGGAACAGCCACTTCTCAGCTCCACCTAGTAATCACCATTATGGGCCCAGAATTACTCAATATTAAAAAATAGTTTTCAGCCCGCTGGCGTGGCTCTAGTTGGGTGTCGACCTATGAATCGGGAGGTCACGGATCAATTCCCAGTTAGGGTGTATGCTGGGGTTGCAGGCTCAATCCCCAGTGTTGGGCGAGCAGGAGGCAGGCAATCAATGATTCTCTCTCATCATTGATCTTTTTATCTCTCTCTCTCCTTCTCCCTTCCTCTCTGAAATCAATAAAAATGTATTTTTTTGAAGTTTTTTTCAAAAGAGGCCAGGTTTTTAGATATTAATAGGGAATTTTCTGCTTTTCAAATGTTGACAGTTTATTCATTTCTTTATAACACCATGCAAGTCAAACATGGGACCCACAGACCTCTGCACTAGAGAAAACATTAAACCTAAAGCTTTGTTGCACTCTATTTTAGTGATATTTCTGCTGGAGAGATATTTTACTCTTCAATGCACCCTGAATTATTTCACCATCCTAGGCTGTTTCCTTTGGTTTTTTGATGTCGCTATCCTTTGAGATGATGGAATCAAGAAAACACACTTTTAAGTTGAACTTCTAGCTTCTGATCTTTTTAAAAAACTGGGTCATGAAGGTGTGAAATGGAGCAACTGATGGCAAGGTCACATGACCCCTTAGATTCAGGCCTCTTGATGACTCAGGCAGGCCATAGTTCAGACTTTTCATAGTCTCTGTCGGAAATGCCCTGCCCCAATTTAGATTCCCAACCAAAGCTAAATGTGTTATATAATTTATTCAGAGCATTTCCCCAACCCTTTATTATGAACATACAGCAAAGGTGGACATTGTACAGTGGACACCCACATGACCATCACAATGTCAGGAATCTCTTCTCCGCTGTCCCAGCTCAGCTGTTCCCTGACTCACTTTATCCTTGGGCACATTCACTCCATGTGGCCACACTGACGGCTCTGGGCTCACGTCACCCCTCAACCATCCCTGCCAAAAGGGCCAACCTAATTCCCCATGACCTGGTGATGACCCTTGTTCACCAAGCCTGGGTTCCCTACCCACTCCTAGATGCCCAATGCAACTACATGGATGGAGGGAGAGTAGGCTCCCCAAAGGAAAATGGGGGTGCTATACCAAAACCAGGGTGCATGGTGTTCAGGAGGGAGAACCATGCCTATCTGCTCTGCTACACAGCACTAAAGGGTGGATGGAGGGGCCAGCTGAGCCAAGCAAAGTCAGCACACAGCACACAACCCATCAGAGGCTCCCAAAGCTCTCCCCACCCCTCCTCTGCCCCCTCCATTTCAGAATACACTTTTTAGACATTCTTCTTCCTTCAAGGCCCCTGAGATGTCCGCATGGGTGATCAGAGTGGGGGTAAAAGAAGAGAGATGAGAAGGTCTGAGCCTGGGTTGCAGCACAAGGGCTTCAAGGCCAGCTGCCAACCACACAGGGCAGTCGTTTGGTGGCATTGCCTGTCCTTCCCTCCCGCCCAGTCTCCACAGACCTCTCTGGGCCATGCTCAGTACCACTCCTGGGACTGTACCCATGACCAAAACACAGCACCCTCACCCTGGCACTCACTGAAGGCGAGAGGCAGGCAAGGTCACAGCTCATAAGACATGTGACAGCTTCTGTGAGGACAGAAAGTCTGGGAACTGGCTCTGAGCTGAGCCTGTCTTTTGGGTCTGGTCCTCAGGTTGGGGTCCAGAGGCTCTCCTTGAGGTGAGCAGGCTCTCCTGGTAGAATTCACCCGAGTCACACTCACAGGGAGCACCCAGGAAACCAGGACTGGAATGGGGAAGGCAGCCGAGCATCTCCCCGGCCAGCACCCCTCTCCCGGAGCCCGAGTCCAGTGACCAGTCAGGGTTGCTGCAGACGGCGGAGTGGACAGAGCCGAGTGACTACCTCTTCCCTCGCAGACTGCAGGGTGGTGAGGGCAGGAAACGGAGGTGGACAGTCTCTGGCTTACATCCCTCATGCAGGGCTGTTGCGTTGGGGCTGCGTGTTTTGCCTGTGATGGAGGAGGAGCAGACTGACCATTCTGCTGGCATAGAAAGAAGGCAGCTCCGGGCATAACAGTGAGGGAATAGGAGGCTTCAGGAACACTGAGGTAGAAAACAGGCAAACTGCTGAGAGAACGAATCAGCCAGACTCCTCAGTGGCCCACAAGGCCCCAGGGGGTGATCTCCCTGGCCACCTTCTACCATCTCCTGCCACTCGCCCTCGCCCTCACCCTCACCCTCACCCTCACTGTACAGCTGCCACACTCGCCCTTTTGTTTCTCAGGCAACCAAGCTGAGTCCCACTTCAGCGGTAGTGGCTGTTGCCACGGCCCCCAGATCTTGGCCTGGCCATCTGCTTCTTGTTCAGATAAGTCATTTCTTCAGAGGCCTTTCCTGACCACCCAATCTAACTGTCCCCCCACCCCTGGCCCCTGCCAGGTTACTCTTCTCTCATCACCCTGATTTCCTGTGTAAAACATGCCGTTTCTGAATCGGTCTGACTCTGGATATTGCTATATCTAGTGGTGTGGTTAGGGGCAGCAACTCTGAGCCAGATGCCCTGTGTTTGAATTCTTGTTCGCTGTCCCACCGTGGACAAGTTCCTTAACATCATTGTCCCTCAGTTTTCTCCAATGTATTCAGGGCAGTAATAGTACCATCTCCTATGGTGAATCACTGAGTTACTATATGTAAAGTGCTTAAGTGCTTGGGACATGGTAAGTGTCACAGAAATGTTTGCTGCTATTGTTACCTTTGGTGCCTGAAACACATTTGGCCATTCGTACATATTTGTTGGAGGAAATGAGACCTTCATGGGTACCGTGGACAAGAGCCGCTGGCCTGGTGGGAGGCAGCACTGAGGCTGGTGCCTGCCAGCCAAGCTGGCCATCCTCTGAGCACCTAGAGCGGCTGCTGGCCCTTGGCATTTTTTAGATGTTACAAATATGAGTGGAGGCTGGGGTCGGTCACAGATGGTGGCAAAGGGCAAAGCAGAGGTCAGACCCAGGAGCCCATGGGTCATTTGGGGGAGGCCCCTGAGCTATCATGGTTCCAACTGCTCTGACCAAAAAGTCTGGGAACTTTAATGCATTTAAGCAAAAGTCTTCCATCCATCGCTGGTCAAAGTGTTAATACTTAGAGTGGGAAACCAGGCCATTCCTAACAACTCTTAGAGTGAGCATTTCACTGCTCCACCCACAATGTCAATTCACAGATAGCACAGGGAAAAATAGGGCATCTCTGTCATTACTTCAGCTATAGCGTGTGTATTTGTTATATCAAATACATTCCCCGGCTTTAATGCTTTAACATGTGGAACAAGTGATGAGCATTTCAGAGTTTGCCCTTCCTGTTCCCTTCTTTACAGTTTTGCATTTGGCTCCCTAATTTCTGCTGTCGATCCAGTGGCTACTATTGCCATTTTCAATGCACTCCACGTAGACCCAGTGCTCAACATGCTGGTTTTTGGGGAGAGTATTCTCAACGATGCAGTCTCCATCGTCTTGACCAAGTAAGTGTGCTCTCTTCAAGGGACAGAACTGAAGGTCCCAGTAACAAAGGGACGGATGTTTCCATGCAGCTGTGTGTGCAGTTGCTTGTCCTCTGGGTGATCAGTTCACCCACTTCTCCATCTTTCTGTCCTGACAAGCCCTGATGTGCCCTAGGGAGGCTGTCAAGGTCCAGAGTGATCCCCCTTTTATGACCTACCTCTTAGCAGGAGTTTTGAGCACAGCTTCCCATCTGCACCACTGGGGATGCTTATTAAATGAAGCATTCCCAGGCCCCATCCTCAGAGCTTCTAAGTTGGTGACTGGTCTGGGGTGAGTCCTAAGAACTTATTTCTTTCTATGGGTTTACTTTGATCTATTTGACCAATTCCCTGTTATTGCCTTTTTCACATTTCTCTTGGTAAAAATTTCTGTAGCTTCATTAGGAAATTCTCATACAGCATGCTATAAGACCTTTAAGAAATCTGATGGTAATATATTTTTCTTATTTAAGATCTACCCTGTAAGCTTCTTAGCTTTTGGGTTTTGACTTTTATCTCATATTCTGGTTGCACATATTGAATAATTGTGATAAAGAATTTTGCCCAAATTGGAGATGACATCATGAGTTATTTTTAGACATTAGGAGCTAAACTCAATGGCTTTGTCTCTAATTTATTTAGTCTTTTAAGAATCTGTCAAAAGTAGGGCCTTTTCTGAGCTTTTCCATGTCTCTTTGCCACAAAAAGGCCAAAGATTAGGCAATAACTTTCTTTTTAAAATGAGAAATGATGGAGTCATTCATTATAAGTAGCCAAAGGTTCTTCCTGGAAAAAGTGCTTTTGAAGGCCAAGATCACCTATGATGACAGTCCCCCAAACTGCATTTGTGGACCACATGCATAGATAGTTTCCAGCCTCCACCTCCACCACTGCTGGGACACAGGCTCCGGTAGGAGTCACTAACTAGGTCGTGTCCAGCCTCGCTGACTCTCCAGACATGCTACAGGCTGGTCATCTGCCCTCAGCATGTGGTGATGGCCTCTGTGTTCCAGACACTGTCCAGAGACCAGTTGGACTTGACAAATTCAATCCAAGGTGAGAGAAAGATGTTCACAAGGAAGTGAACACAATGGTGCAAGAGGGAAATAGTCACTCTGAAGGATTCGAGTGAGGTTTCTCAGGGGAGCTGTCTTGTGAGCCATTTTCAGTTAGAAGAGGGAGAAAGGAGCATGGTGGGTGTGCCCTTTTTTGCATTACAGGAGGGAGCTGTTGTCAGCATTCCTTGGTTTATAAGGTAGAATCACGTCTTGTTTTTAAGGGTATACTTAATAAATGATTGTTTTCAAAGTGATCTGACACATTTATCTTTGCAACTGAATATAGGAATGAATTACCCCGTTTTTAAAATATGTTTTCATTGATTTCAGAGAGAGGAAGGAAGAGGGAGAGAGATGGAAACATCAATGATGAGAGAGAATCATAATAGGCTGCCTCCTGCATGCCCCCTAATGGGGATCAAGCCCACAACCCAGGCATGTGCCCTTACCAGGAATCGAACCAGTAACTCCTGGTTCATGGGGTGGACGCTCAACCACTGAGACACACTGGCCCCGCCTATCCGCTTCTTTAATGTTTTCACTTTCGTGGTGCCAGAAAGTTAAGAAGTATCTTCGGTTTCTTCATTAACTTTAATTAAATTAGTTTTAGCTTTGATTTGTTACTATGACAATTTATTCTTAAAATAATTGCTGTAAAGGAAACCTTTTGTTCTCTCCAGCTACAGCTTAAGCTCATGAAATGGAACCTGAAGCAGCATTGTCTTATATTCTTAAGGTGTGAGAAACATGACCTGAAAAAATAAAATGTAGAAAATTACCAGGCCAGAAAGAGTCCAATTCTGCTTTCATTTACTTTGAGTTTAGGGATCATTGGCCTAAGCCTTCTCTCCATAAAAAGAAAGCAGCACACTAGCTGGTGTACCATCTGAGGGAGTCATCTGTGGTGGGGGCTCAATACTTACTGTATGCATGTGGCCCACAGATCATTTGGGAACTGTGGGTGATCTTAGCCTTCAAGAGCACTTTCCCAGTAAGAACCCTTGTTGGATCCCAGTATTTCCCAAGGTGGGATGTTAACCTGTGATCTACTAGGAAAGAAAGGGATGGGGGGAGGGGGTATTGTACATTTAGTGAGTTTGAAAAACATTTGTGTGAAAAAAAAGTTAGATTAATTTTTTTTGCAAGACTTCCCACAACCTTTATTATATTACATTGTACAGTGAATTGCCATGAAAGGCTTCCTGAGGTTATTTGATCAAGCTATCAGATTATCAGAGATTACCTTGCTCTAAAATTATACCAATTCATGAAATGTCAAGTAATGAAGCTGAATATTATTATTGACAATTCTTCGCTCTGTGTACTTATTCAGCAAAAATTTATTGAGTGTCTTGTGGGCTAGGCACTGCCTCAGGCCTGGGACATACTGCGGTTAAACAGGATTGGTCCTCATGGAACAATTAGTTTCACATGCTGTGGAGAAGGCGCGCCACAGCAGGGCCGGTAAATGCTGGCCTGTGCAAAGGGGTCCCTGAGGAAGTAACACTGACCTTGGGTTCTGAGAAACAAACTGGGAAGTTAGGGAGGCCAAGGAGATGAAAGGTGACTGTAAGGAGGTGCCAGTCACAGTGGGGCCTACCCTGAAGGAGGAGAAAATGGGATCAAGAAGTGTGGCAGGGAGAGGAGTCAACAACATAGGGATTGGGCCGGAGAATAGAAAATAACGGTGGCCAGGAAGCCAAGTTAAGAAGGAACACAAAAATGTCACCACCCCTCCACTCTCTACTCTAAAACACAGAGGTAGCTGATTGTATCTCCCTTCTAACTGACTGCTATATGACCTTCCCAGGGTGGTGGTAACAGGCAGTCCACCATCTTGCCCCAGAAGCACAGGTATGGATGTAGTTACCCAGCAGCAGGAAAAGGAAGTCACCCCATCCAGAAATGGAAAATTCTGCAAGCCTGACTTTTTTAAAAGCCTGCCTTATGGCGCAAGCCTGCTTTGTCCCCAGCTTATAAAAGCAGCCAAGCAGAGCCAGCCCCAGAGCCAGTTTAGAGGACCAGCCTCTGTGCTGCCTCCCTGGTGCTCGAGCATAACCTTAATAAAATCTGTCTGGAAATTTCTCGGGGGGTTCCTGTTGACTTCTATCGTGGGTAACTCAAGAACCCCAACTCTGTTAACAAGGTTATACTAAGAAGACTAGGCTTCCTCCTACAAAGCAGCAGGAAATTGTTGATGGGTTTTGAACAGGCCAGTAACCTGATCAGATGTGAATTTTATGGGGATCATTCAGGCCATTGAATGGAGAATGGGTTGGGCCCTAGGAAGACAAGGAGGTATAGAGAGAGCAATGGGACAGCAGATAGTAGGGCAGAAAGGGAGAGAAGTGGATGGACTTAAGAGACAACCTGACGGTAGAATCAGACTGCAAGAGAAGGATATTTAATGAGAATAACTCCATTTTAATGGCATAGCAGTTTTCCCTTTGGGGATAAAACCAACAATTGAATTCAATGGCTTCTGACAGTTTTACTTTGTTCTTTTACAATGAAAGAAAAGTTCTTCAATCCTTCCTCCTAATGCCTCCTAAATCCACCCTCTCTCACCCATCACCTGTACCCAATAACAGTTCTTCTTTAGGTGGCTCCATTCTAATCTGACTTCATGCCAGAGCCTTAATTTCCAGTTGTACCACAGGATCGCCCCATACTAGAAATACTCCCCAGGGCCTTCAGGATGAAATACCAACTCCTTCACCTGGTTCATCAAAAGCCTTTCACAGGTCCTGTGCTGCCTGCTGCTCTGGCCTTGCCTCTTGCCGCTGTCCACCCCACCGCACAAACACCCCCATTCTTTTTCTGTATTTTATCCATACGAACCCCTGTAATCGAATGCTCCCAGAACGTGCTTGTATTCTCAGGCTCTCTGCCTCTGCACATGTTGTTCCCTCTGCTTTCCCTCATTGTCCTTTATCCCAAATCTAAACCCAGCCCATATGTTATGAAGAACCTCCTTGAGGTTAGATGCCCACTTTGTGTTTCTACAGCCCTTTGCCCTTACCCCACATGGTCATTAGTTCCCATCTCATTAAACTGGGCACTCCTTAAGGGCAGGGCCTTTGCGCTCATCTCTGAACCCCCAGGAACTGGCATAGTACCCGGAACAAAGCAATGTGTGACTCACTAAATGATGGACCGAACGAATGACAGAATAATCAAGGAATAAATTTTGAGTTCTAAGTTAATTTCTAATAACTTTGTCTATAACATTTTAACTTCTTTCTGTTTTTCTTTTATTTCCTAGCACAGCTGAAGGTTTAACAAGAAAAAATATGTCAGATGTCAGTGGGTGGCAAACATTTTTACAAGCCCTTGGCTACTTCCTCAAAATGTTCTTTGGCTCAGCAGCACTCGGCACTCTCACTGGCTTAATCTCTGCATTAATATCCTTTCACTGTGATGAACATGTGTGGCTGAGAAGATTATTCCTAATTATCTCCATCTTTAGCCATTTTCTCCTATGCCTTAAGGGGACCAATTTTAGTCTAAGGTTGGGTTTGATGGAGGATTTTTATGCTTAGTTGTGGTTTGAGGAGCACTTTCATTTAAACTCAAGGACTTTTAAATTTAACATGTGAAATTTAGGGTGTCACTTTTTAAAGCTTAAAAAACATGTATACTGTTGAATATTAGATCTGATTTGGGAGACTTCTTAGTTCCTAGAGGATGATAACCACATTCAGATAATTTTCACTTTCTGCAGTCTCTCTTTTCACATTCCAAAAATTGGAAATTAATTTCCTTTGAAAATGTCAAATTGAGAAAATCTGGAAGTGTTTATCTGAAAGGACCAGAAAAGAGACTTTCAGAGTGAGCTCATCTGAGTTATTTGCAGATTTTCTTGCTTAACTACCCATAAGCTTTTCCAGCCAGAGAAGGAAAGAGGCTTGTGAAGCCCAGTGACACCTTTATTGCTGTAGAAAATTCGTCATGTTCTAACAGGAATAGGCACCCGACCACTTCTGTGCGAGCCTAAGCCTGCGTCTCAGGGAGGTGCCACCTGGCCCTCCTCCAGGAGCAGTGTGTCTCACAGATGGCCGGAAAAGCCTCTTTTGCCTGTGACAGGCATGTTTGTCTGCCATCCTGTTGAATTTTTCCTTCGACTCCTGTGTCCAGAAGTCTAAAGGCTCTAGTGAGTTGGTTGACAGCTTCTCATATTGTACCAACAAACAGAATGGGAAATAAACTTTATCCAGCTCAGTATTCTCCTCCTTATTTATCTTTTCTTAAAAAGAGTCGGGGGAGCATCTGCTATAATGAAGCTATGTGAATGGGTGCTGTGAGTTCCAGCAAGGGCATGTGAACAATATTTGGAATATGTAGAAGACTCTCCTTTGACAGATGAGTTTGAAAATCTCCAGGAATAGGAAAAGGGGCCCTTTGATGGGGCATTGAACCCCAAAGTTCTGGAAAACACCATAAGTTCATCTCATCTGATGCAGGAAGAGGAGGTAAAAGAGTAACAAGGCCCCAGAAGGGACCTGGCACTGTGGGCTATCCGTCTGCAACTCCAGCTTTGCCCCCCACAGGCCTGGCACATTCCCAACTTTCCAGGTCAGCATTTTTTAAAGATATTTTAAATTGATTTTTAGAAAGAAAGGAAAGGAGAGGGAGATAGAAACATCAGTGTGAGAGTGAGACATTGGTCAGCTGCTTCCTGCACACCTCCTACTGGGATCAAGCCCACAACCCAGGTATGTGCTCTGCCTGAGAATCAAACTGGTGACCTTTCAGTGCGCAGGATGATGCCCAACCAACAGAGCCATGGCCAGGGCCCAAGTCAGTATTTTTAACTGAGTTAACTTAGGTTGATTTTAATTCCCCCCCTTACCATTTTTCTCAAGAATTTACATTTCTTACTTTATCAGATTCCCTTTCTTAAAACAACTGTCTCCCTGCAAAGAAAAAAAAATCCATGATGACAGGTTTTCAATTGTTACCTTAGAACGTTGCAAAATCTTCTATTGTTCAACTTATATTTGGAAGGCAGCAGTTTTGTGACTTCACTAGATCTCCCACCAACTGTCCCTCAATTCTCTTTCCTTGACAACTCGTTTATGTGCTGAAGCATATTGACTTGAGGAAAACGCCTTCCTTGGAGTTCGGCATGATGATCATTTTTGCGTATCTTCCTTATGGGCTTGCGGAAGGAATCTCACTCTCGGGTAAGTGAACGAGAGCACTGAAATGCTAGGTGATGGCGTGTTGTCCTGCCTGGTGAGAGAGGTTATGTCAGTTGGGTCACTTTCAATCACAAGAGAAAGTCACAACTCAGAAGAACTTGCAACAAAGGGATTCTACTGGTCCCGTGGGGACACATCTGGATTTAGATCTGGCTGGATCCAGGGCCTCAGTGTTGTCACAGTCGCATTTCTCCTTACCGATCATCCCATAGCAAAGATCAAAATACCACCTCCAGTCCTGCCTCTTTCCCAGAGCAAGGGCTCTGAAGGGCTTCCCTCCAAGGATGGGGTCCGACTGCCAAGGACAGTCATTCCCCGGCCCATCCCTAGGTCCTGGCACCCACTGAGCTGCGTTCTGTCACTATAGTTTTCTTTCTCCAGAATGTCATAAAAGTGAAGTCATATAGTATGCAGTCTTTTGTGTCTTATTTCTTTCAGTTATTATAATGTTCTTAAGCAACATGTTTTTGCATGTCTGCCATTCATTATTTCTCTACATTCTTGAACTCATGGAACATATTTATAACAGCTATTTTAATGTGCTTGTGTGTTAATTCCATCATTTCTGTTAATTCTAGGGTGGTTTCTGTTGATTAATTTTCCTTTGTTCATAAGTTATATATTGCTGCTCTTCGTTTGCCTATTAATTTTTTGGACACCAGTCATTGTGAAGTTGATTATGTTGTTAATTATTAGATTTTAGTGTATTCTTCATAGAGTTTTGGATGTTCGTCTGCCATATATCTAAGTTTCCTGCAGTCAGCGGAATCCTTTTGAGGTTTACTTTTAAATTGTCAGGGCAGGTCCAGAGTAGCACTAGGAACTAATGCACCTCTGAGGACTCTAGCTCATGTCCCATGTATTATGAGGTCACTTCACCCCCGCCTGTGGGAACACACACTATTCCCTGCCTTGTGTGTGCCTGGGGAACTGCTCAGCCTATTCCTTTTTGGTGATGCTCTCACAGCCTCTTGGAATCTCACCACTTGCATGTACAGATCAGTTCAGTCCAAGATTCAAGGGGACTCCATTGTAGCTCTCAGGAGCTCTCTCCTACTGTGTGGCTTCTCCTCTCTGGTATTCTAGCTGCTTTGGCCTCCCCCAACTCTCATCTTTCTTCTCTTCTCAGCAAGACTGAGACTGCTGGGCTCAGTTTGGGGTTCACCTTCCTGAGCCTCAGCCCGGAAACTAAGGCCGGCAGCAGGCTGGGCCGGGCCTGGAGTAGGAAGGGCCACTGTGTTTGTTTCCCTTCTATAAGGAATCACAGTCGTACCCTGCCCAGTGTTCGATGTCAGAAGACAGTTTTATTTCATATCTTTCATCGAGTTTTCTAGTTGTTTATGGCAGGACAGCAATTTGCGTAGTAGTTATTTCTTCCTGGGCAACGCGGAAATCCCCGGTGGTTTTTAATGACTCCGCGGAACAGAATTCTTCCCACAATCACTTTCTGTCATCACAGTGGGTACTCTGTGAGCAGACCTTGCCAAGGAGGAAGCAGAGAGGACTCGTAAACATCAGGGGTTTGGTTTGTTTTTTTTATCCCAAGCCAGTTCTCCTGGACAATTTCATCCTGGCATCTGCCATCAAGTGTCCTCTCTTACCTTCCCTGAATTTGGCCCTTAATAAACATTACTTATGAAACATTTGGCTTTAGCCTAGCTATTTTACCTCTGTTTTTCTAAATGTTTCCCACCCGTTGAGATGAACACTGAGTACCTGATGGCAGATATATTTCATACATCCATTTGGAACTTGTGATTAAGACGAGAGTATTTTTCTTTTCTTCAGAGAGGCAGTGTTTTCTGTTTGTCGGGCTCTCGTTTCCTTAGGGATTTTTGTTGTTCGCATGAGTGGGGCCAAAGACAGCACATGCCAGCCAAGAACACATGGTCTACCTCTGGGCCTCTGGGATCTCTGTCACACAGGGTTTCAGAGAAAGGGAGGACGGCCTGGTGTGTTGTGAGGACCCTCCACTTCCCACTGTAAGAGCATAAATGGGAAAGGTGATATTTTTTGCTCTCTCCTCCTTCCCTTTTGTACTCTGCTTCCCCTGACCATCACAAGGACTGATAGTGGGTGGTTCCCATGACCACCAAGCAGGACATTCTCTTCCTACAAATCATTTACTCAGATCATGTGTTTAGAACACAGTGGTTAAGGATCCCGGACTAACCTGGGTTTGAATCCCAGCTCCACCTCTCAGCATTAGCTATGTAACCTCCAGTCAGCAGACTTAACTTCTCTGAGCATTCACTTCCTCGTGTAATAAAAGGGCCACCCTCGGGCTTGTGGTGAGAATTAAAGGGAACGATGCAAGTGAGAGTCCTGGAGGCATCGGTGTGTGTTATTACTAGGAAGTGTCCTGGTTCAACAGTAAATTCAATAGTCTCCCTAATTATTACTCGGAAGCATTAGCTTTTCTCAGAATCTTTGTTCTAATTCTATTTATACCTATTTCTATTTTTCATTCAAGCCAGTTTTGAGGGCTGCTTTGCCCTCTGGCTCTAAAAAGCCAAAGATGAACAGCCCCCACCCCTGGCCCTGAGCCAACTCTGGGCTTGGGGAGGGGAATTGGGGCAGAGCCACATTCTGTCAAGGTGAGTCACAAGGATGGAACTTTCAGGACTTACACTTTGTGTTAAATGCTGGGAACATGTTGGCCAAAGATGGAATGTACTGTACAGCACTCACGTGCACAGGCGTATATCCAAGGAATTCCTCTGCAGCACTGCCTGTGAGAGGAAAACTGGAAGTAGCAAAATGTCCATCAGTAAGGGAAACAATTAGGTGAGTCTGTGTCCACTGTCACTATGGCATACTATGCAGACACTTAAAAATGAATTGATCTATTTGTACTGCCACTCCAAGATACGTTGTTAAATTTTAAGGAAGCTAAAAAACGACTCATTCATCCATTTAGTGAATATTAAATGTGCACCCTGTGCCGAGAACTGCCCTTGTATGGCGTCTACAGCAGTAAACAAGACAAGATCAAAGTCCTACCTGCAGAAGAAAGACAATAGACAAATGAGCAAACACATAGCATAATCGCAGGCAGTGAGAAATGATATGAAGAAATCAGTCATGTGATAGACAGTGGCAGGGGGGCGGAAGCAGCATGGCATAGGGTCAGAAGGTCACAAAGAGGGGGCCCTAGAGCTAACCTGTGTGTAAGAGGGAGCCAGCCCTGGGAGGGTCTGGGGAAGGGTGTTTGGCACTGGGAACAGTAGGTGCTAAGGGTCCCAGGTAGGTGTTTAGGAGTGAGGCATGCTCCAGAAGAGCAGGAAGACTGTGCGGCTGGGATGGAGGGGCCGGGAGTCCATACCATAGGGTTCTATAGGCCTGGGACTCTGCTAATCATGCGAAGGCAAATGTTGGAGGCCTTTGAAGAAAATCCACTGTGCTAGCAATGCATGCCATATATCTAACAGGATCCTGTTTATTACTTTTTAAAGATAAACTTCCTAATGGCTTAGGGAGAGAACTGGCAATCTGCATATCGAACAGTTAATGGTAGTTAACCTCTGGACAGGCGCTGTGAATGGAGACTGTTGTTTTACTCTATACCTCTGAGTCTGGATGCCTTACAGTGAAATATGTTTATTATTGGGTAATTAATAAAGAAAACTGATTATGGTTTGACTCAGCTTCAAGAAGTTCATTGTAGCCCGGCCTGCATGGCTCAGTTGTTGAGTGTCGACCTATGAACCAGGAGGTCATGGTTTAATTTCTTGTCAAAGCACATGTCCGGTTTGTGGGCTTGATCCATAGTGCGGGGCCTACAGGAGGCAGCCGATCAATGATTCTCTCTCATTATTGATGTTTCTATCTCTCTCTCCCTCTCCCTTCCTCTGTGAAATCAATAAAAACCTATTTAAATGAGCTGGTGAAACAAAGTCCTTTGAAAGCCCAGAAGCCAGCAACTTTCTGCATTGGACTGCAGTGCTAAAGCCCGTTCCATAAAAACAGAACTGTGTCTTACCCTGTTTTCCTCCTTTGATCTCCACTGAGTTCCAAACCCAGGTTCTGGGCTCTCCTCTGCCATCTCCCTTAGCTTTGCCTTCTGATAGCTCTATTGCAGGGTCAGGCTGGGTCAGCTCTCCAGCTGACCACCTGCAGGAACATACTGAGAGAACCACCAGGTTTGCTGTCCTCTGTTTTTTGTTTGTTTGTTTTAAATATTTTGATTGATTTCAGAGAAAAAGGGAGAGGGAGAGAGAGAGAGAAATATCAGTGATGAGAGAATCATTGATCGGCTGCCTCCTGCATACCCCACACTGGGGATCAAGCGCACAACCCGGGCATGTGCCCTGTCTGGGAATCAAACCATGACCTCCTGGTTCATAGGTCCATGTTCAGCCAGTAGCGAGATAAAAAACAGAGGCGATCAGGCTGTTGTCCTCTGTTTTTTATCTCGCAGAGCAATCATTCAGAATGACTCCTGAGCTGCAGTCTTCTCAGTGGTCTGCAATAGCAAGTACAGAAGTCTCTGGCCCACTCCTTCCCTTCTCCCAAATCTTGTCCGGTGCAGCTTGAAGGCAGCATTGCTGGAATGTCCCCATCTAGCCTCGTTTATACAGGAACATGAAAGAGCAAGAATTTGCTATTTGCTAAGAGGAAAGGAACAGGCCAGGTGGAGGGACCCCACTGGTGCACGATCCAGGCCGGGGAGGGACTGGGCTGGGAAGGGACCGCGGGAGGGCTCCAGCGCCTGTCCAGCCCATCTTGCTCAGTCCCAATGGGCCGGACCCCAGCAGCATCAGTGCATGTCATAGTGAGCGGTTGAGAGGCCTTAGCATATCATTAGCATATTATGCTTTGATTGGTTGAACAGACAACCAGACACTTAGCATATTAGGCTTTTATTATATAGGATGTTCACCAGTAATCCCTGTTTCTACAAAGTGGCAGAAGGAGTTACTATTTTGCTTATAAAGTCTGACTTGCAGTTCATATATTTGGCTTATTTAATGACTGTATTTACATGAACTAGAGATCCTAGACCAGGACACTCTGAGAGGAAACCCTCGTAAAGTGCTACAGGAGTGATTATGGGCAGTAGCCAAATGGTGAGACTCAAATCCTCAGTAAACAACAAAAGTTGTAGACTCTCATGGAGTGCTGTAAAGAAAAGACATTATGTGTTAAATGAATCTCTTTTTCTATATAAGAAGAGTATTTTATGTGATTACAGGGAAATTCAAAATTAAGGCAAAGTAAATCAAAATCTACCTCGATTCTTTTTTATTGTTATTATCCTCATCCAAGGATATTTTCCCATTGATTTTTTAGAGAGAGTAGAAGGGAGGGGGAAAGACAGAGAGAGAGGAACATCAGTGTGAGAGAGACACATCAATTGGCTGCCTTCCACACATGCCCCAACCAGGGCCAGGATTGAGCCTTCAACCAAGGTACATGCCAGAATGGAACCCAGGACCCTTTAGTCCTCGGGCTGATGCTCTATCCACTGAGCCAAACTGACTAGGGCCATGGTCTGCAAACTGCAGCTCACAAGCCACATGCGGCTCTTTGGGCCCTTGAGTGTGGCTCTTCCACAAAATACCACGTGCGGGCGCTCATACAGTGCGATTGAAACTTCGTGGCCCAGGCGCAGAAGTCAGTTTTCGGCCTGGGTGAGTCTATTTTGAAGAAGTACTGTTGATATTTGGCTCTGTTGACTAATGAGTTTGCCAACCACTGGACTAGGGCTACCCAGATTCTTATGCTCTCTGAGTGGCTCATTTGTCCTCCTATCTGTGGATGACAGTGACAGCACACACCTGTCCTGTAATAGGCACTTTGCGTGGCTATTCTTCATTACCCTCCTAAGAGGGTAATAAAGATTAGAAACAGAAACAGTCAATAAGCATCGACAAAGGATTCATTAAATTAGCCATGACATACCGATACAGGGTTGGGCAAAAGTAGATATACAGTTGTTCATATGGAAAATAATACAATTCATGAGTGGGTACTCTTAGTTCCACTATACAGATGAGAAAACAGGCTTGGATGGGGGTGTGGGAATTTGGCCCAAGGTCAGCCAGCCGATAGTGAAGCTGCCAGAAAGAAGGGACCCTTAGCATTTCTCTGCAATCTCTGGTAGGCCTCAGGTACTACTTCCTTCTCCTTTTTCTTTTCTTTTTCTTTCTTCTTTTTTTTTAGAATATATTTTTACTAGAGGCCCAATGCATGAAATTCATGCAAGGGGCTCAACCCTCACAGCCCTAGCTGCCTCGGCCCTCAAGGCCCCAGCTACCTTGCCCACTGGTCATTCCAGAAGGTTGTTCCGCCATCCGGTCTAATTAACATGTTAGCTCTTTATTATATAGGATTGGTTTTAGAGAGGAAGGGAAAGGGAGAGGGAGATGGAAACATCAATGATGAGAGAGAATCACGGATCAGCGGCCTCTTGGTCGATCCCACACTGGGGATCGACCCCACAACCTGGGCATGTGCCCTGACCGGGAATTGAACCGTGACCTCCTGGTTCATAGTTCGATACTCAACACTGAGCACCATTGACCAGGCTCCTTTTTCTTAAAACACCTAACACTATAGGCTTCAGGGACCTGTGGGAAGTGTGACATATTTGTGGATCACATGGTAGGTGCTTTTCTGCTCTGCTCATGTCTGGGCGCTGTGCCCCATTGTCCCTCTCCAGGCATCATGGCCATCCTGTTCTCAGGCATTGTGATGTCCCACTATACGCACCATAACCTGTCCCCGGTCACCCAGATCCTCATGCAGCAGACCCTCCGGACCGTGGCCTTCTTGTGCGGTGAGTTCCTCTTGGGGATCTGGCATGGGCCTCCCCTGAGCTGATGGTGGTTCTTACCCTGTTTGAGTCCAGTTGTTTCCTGGCAGAAGAGGCAGCAGGATCCTCAGAGCCAGACTTGCACTCCCTTATCTTTTGTTTGTTACTCTGGCTTTCAAATTCCATAAAGGAAACCTAATACTTAACAAATGGAGTGTTTGCTGCCTACAATTTTAAAACCAAAAATAATGAAAGCTACTAATTATGAACATTTGAGCCTCATGCATTTTAATGTATTAAAGTCACATTTCCAAAAATGTTTTCCTTGGAACTGATATTGATGAGGGTTAAGTGAATAAAGAGTGTGGGAAATCCTGGGATAAAGTTTAACAAGTTTCTGAACTGCAGGACTTTTCAGCAGCATGCATTGTGAACTTCTGAGAGAGGAATGTACTACCAGCATTCCCCAAACTTGTCCATAGGCCCCTTTGTTCACAGGAGCATCTTGAAAGACCTAACTTGGGGCGGTATCAGTGTTGGGCTGGGTGCCCCAGGATGACTGGTTCCCCCATACACCTCCTCCCTAGTTTATGCCTGGCCATAAAGGCATAAACCGTCTCTTTGCACTGCTGCCCAAGTGGCTGTGCCCTAGCTGTCACCATCAGCATCCCCCCTGACATTTCAGTGGGGCTTGTCTCATTTTGAAGTGTGAGTTCCACACTGTCACATGCGAGGTAGGAGGCAGGGACAGGCTGTGCAGACTTCAGTCCATGGATAAGGAGGCTCAGGTGTCAAATGACTTGTCCACAGTCACATGGTTCAGAAGTGACTCTGAAGCCAGGCCTGTCTCTTCTGGCCCTGCAGGTATTTTTCCATAGCACCCCTCTCAGAAAGTCATGGCTAAAGACTGACTCACCATAAAGGAGTGTAAAGCAAAACACCCATCTAATTCTGTTTTGCACCCATCAGATTAGTAAATGTTGAATTTGATAATACCCACTCGCGGCACCGGTGTATGTAGGACAGACCATTGATGTGCATGTGTGTTGATGCCATCTCTTTGGAGAGTCATTTGCAGCATGTCTGAATTTAAAAGGCACGCAATTCTACTAGGAATTTTGCCTGTGCACAGGGATGCTTGTTGTAGTTTGTAACATCAGAAATAGAAACAGTCAATAAGCATTGACAAAGGATTCATTAAATTAGCCATGACATACCAACACAGAGTTGGGCAAAAGTAGGTTTACAGTTGTTCATATGGAAAGTAATACAATAATTAATAAATATAATACAAGATTAAATTCTGTGTTTCATATACCCACAACTGTAAATGTACTTTTGCCCAATCCTGTATAGTAGAATTTATGCTGCCAGAGAAAAGCATAATGTAGACCTCAAGGCAACCTAAATGAGCATTTGGAAAGATCACAAAAAAATATTCAAGGAGGAGAGGGGTGAATCTACTGTCCAGCTTGTGACTTATTTTAAAAGGGTACACATTTGAAGGGAAAAAATGTAGGCAAAATGTTTTAAAACAGCCTTCCTGTATTATGATACTCAATTATTTTACAATACAGTCTTTTCTCCCTGATTATGAGGCTGTTCCGGGGCATCACAATAAAAGCAGGGAGCCCAGCCCTAGCCCAGCCATGGGCAAACTACGGCCCGCGGGCCATATCCGGGCCCGTTTGAAATGAATAAAACTATTGATTATATATATTTTTTTTTTTTTTAAAGCAGGGAGCCTAGTGGTGGGAATGTACAAGGTCCTTTTCTTTGGGATACACAGCAACTGCTTGTACAATGAGCATAAATGTCGGACTCTTGTGGGGCGGAGCCCAGAGCTGGAAACGTACTCCTTCCTGCAAATGCTGCAGGGTGTGAGCTGTCTTCTAAACCTGGGGTGGGATTAAATATATGAGGTCAATCATTTGGCTTTGTCTGGTATGGCCAGGAAGATAACAAAGGGCCCTTTCACACTAGTCAGGTGGTGTCTGCAGCACTGGCTCTGAATTTTTGTCACTTTACCGGCAGTCAGGATCCTTGCTAATCAGAGTGTTCAGCAAATGGACTCAGCACTTATTTACATGAGTATGTGACAGTTGCCTCATTAAATTAGGAGATTCGGAATAGCAAGCACATGTTGCTTGTGTGATAGAGGAAAATGAGATAATCACAGTACTAGTTTCACCAGGTATTGGTTGCAGATGTTTCAGAAAATATGCAAAGTGTTACTTACTTGTGAATGTTTGCTTGCTTAACAATTTAGTACTGTATTGGAAGAAATAGTCTGGGCTAAATAATCCATTCTTTGGTTTGTTTCAGAAACATGTGTGTTTGCATTTCTTGGCCTGTCCATTTTTAGTTTCCCTCACAAGTTTGAAATTTCCTTTGTCGTCTGGTGCATAGTAAGTATTTTCCTTGTTTTTTATTTAATTACTTATTCATAGCTCAATGACCACATGTTCTGGATTCATTTATGTAACTGTTAACTGTTCAAAGTCAACAGCTACATAGACACTCTTACGTTTAAGTTTTTTTGTTGTTGTTGTTACAAAATCACAAACATACAATAAAGGGGTGGAATTAAGTGAATGAATATCCCCAGAAAAGGACTTTTGCTTCTTTTTAAATTTTAAATGGCCTTAAATGACATGGTCTTCTTTCAAAAGCACATTGTATGTGTTTCTATGTTTGGTGGTAAAAGCAGATTTCAAAATTGAATATGTAGTTGAGCATAACCATGTAAAAACATTATGCATAGAAAAAGAAAATTTCACCAAATGTTCCCAGTGCTTGTAGAACTGAGGGTGATTTTTTTTTCTTTTCTATGCTTTCTGGATAATTTATAATGCATGTATTTCTTACTGTAGTTCTCTTCAGATGTCCATTCATAAGCTTGACCTTGGACACTATGTAAAGATTACTAGGCCCTTAGTTCCCCTGAAGATTCATCCAGGGTACTCATCCCAGCTGATTCTTACTATCAAGAAGGTTTGGGAAGCTGTTATAGTTGGACTGGGGGTGGCAGTAGGAGACACATTAAAATACATCTCTAAAAAAGGAAAGTAGAAGATTAATCATTTATAGGAGAATCAAGTCCTTGTGGGAAAAATAAAAGTTTACCATTTAAAAGAAAGGTCCAGCTCTGGCCAGTGTGGCTCAGTTGGTTGAACATCATCCCAGACACCAAGAAGTCATTGGTTTGATTCCTGGTCAGGGCACATGCCCCTATTGGAGGCTCGATCCCCAGTGGGGAAAATGCAGGAAGCAGCCATTGATGTTTCTCTCTCATCTCCCCCTTCCTTTCTCTCTCTTTCTAAAATTAGTAGAAACATTTAAAAAATAAAAGAAAGGTCCAGCTCTCTCAGGCATCTGATCAAAGTGACATGAGGGGCTTCTAACAGTTCGGGCATTTAGACTGGTGTCCCCAGGTTGCTTGTCTGTATTCTCTTTGTGTCTCTTCCCTCAGAGTGAGTTCATCTCCCGGAGGCCCTCCAGCTGATTCAGACGCCAATCCCTAATTTGATCTTTGTTGTCCCTTTAGATTCTATGTTACTTTAAGGCACTTAAGAAGTATACCTTACTATTTTTGAATTATCATAATTCATCTACAGTTAACTATTATTACCAACTCCACTTAATAAAGCATAGCTATTGAGAGTCAAACTTTTTATTTTGCCTCGTCATCTACCATGTGCAAACCGAGAGGTCTACCTGTTTGGCCTGTGGGGAAACTGAGACACAGAGAAGATAAGGAGCCCTAAGGAAAAAGATGTTTCTCCTTGAAACCTGGGTGCTTTCACCTCTGTCGGCAAGAGTGTGTGGCTTTTGTCTCTGTTATCTGTCCTCTAAACTCCAGTTTCAGGACAGGAGGACAGAAGCCAGTCTTTTCAGAAAGTATAATAGTCTTTAGTGTGGTCTCTGGGTAAACGGGGCCACCTTTGGTGAAACCTGAAGTGCAAGTGTCAGATTGGGAGGTTGGATTCCAGTGGGTGAAAAAGGGAGGTGACTGTGTCAGCCATGGGTTGGGAGGAAAAGGAGAATGAGAAGATGCCTGGGGTGGTGACTTGGTTTTCTCTGACCACATAGGCTGGTACCCCTCCTGGGCACAGCCTATGCTTTTCGAATGGATTACTTTACACTGGCTCAGTGGTCAAGGGCATGGGTTTTGGGGACTGAACCAGATTTGAGACTTGGCTCCACCACTTCCTGCCGGGTTCAGCATGGGCCAGTTATTTAACCTCTCTTTGTCTGTGTTCCCTTGTCTCCAAAATGGAGACAGTAGTACCTCCTTTATAAGACCATTGCAGGGATCTAAATTTAACAAGATAATGCATATAAAATGCTTAGCACATTGTCTGACATGTAAATGTTAGATGATTGGGAGCCATTATTAACTTGACCATCCAAGGCATGCACACTCCAAAGCACACTCAATCCGTGCTGGTTAAAACTTAGAGCCTACAGAATGTGGGTGTGTATATTATCCTTTTCAAGATTAAAAAATGGAGGTAAATTAATAAGTAGCTCTAAGTATCCACTTAGATAAAGTTTAAACTTAACATAAAGCTGTATTTTGTTAAGACCAACATGCCTTTGGAAATGGTTAGGAACCCAGAGCCGTGGCAAGTTGCTGGGTTGTGTGACCTTTTAAAACCTACCTGTGTGTTCCTTTTGCTCAGGTAGTAGCGTTTAGGTATATGGGTTGGCCCTTCTCAGTCTTTCCTCCTTTCCCTGAGGAGTAGGGCCCCCATGAGAGAGGCAGGAACACCTGTCCGTGCCTCCAGAACTAGCCCACTGGGAGTGATTAGCACAGCCCTGTCCCATGGTGCAGCACCTTTGGAGGAGTTAGATTGCCCTTAAATTAAATAATGTCTGGGTACTTCTGCACGGCCTCTTGGCATTCGGTTCTGTTCTGCTGTCATTACTAAAGCCATTGCTGATGTCCTCCCTTACTGACTACTGAGATGTGACATAAAAAGCATTATCCTTTCCCAGACACACAAACCAAGCAACCTCAGCCAGGTTTCTGACTAGCACGTTATTCACACCTTTTATAACCCAGGGGAATGCCCTATTTATAGTGGGTGTGCTACAGGCCTGTGTCAGCCTCAGCAAGCTTCAAATGAAAGAACCAGAGGTTTCCATCTAAGACTTGGTTTGTTGCTATTAACAGGTGCTTGTACTGTTTGGCAGAGCAGTGAATATTTTCCCTCTTTCCTACCTTCTGAATTTCTTCCGTGATCATAAAATCACACCGAAGATGATGTTCATCATGTGGTTTAGTGGTGAGTCTAATCTTGAATGAACAGTGGAGGGAAGATACCTCTTACAAAGGCACACACCATGCAGAGGGCACACGGGCTAGAGCCCTTTGAAACAAGTGTGTCTCACAAGCCAGAAATAATACAGGTTCCCAGGCTGCCAGTGCTGCCAGGAGCTGCTTGGGAGGCACCGGACAAATTGCATTCTGTGCTGTTGCCCGTCAAGCTGTGTGGCCCTGGGAGGACATGGTTCCCTCAGTCTCGGTTCCTCGTCTGTAGACTAATAGGACCTGCTTTACAGGGTTTCCGGGAACAGCAGATGAGATCATGCAGGCAGAGCGCTTAGCACAGGCCTGGCTCACACACAGGGAGGGCTCAGTCTGCACTAGCTGTTGTATTTCTAAAATGTGAGTGTTGGGCTTGATAAACACACACACACACACACACACACACACGGTGCTTCATAGCCTGGACAGGGCACCTCATTTGATCTGCTCAAGCCCCCTGTGAAGTGGGAACGGAGGTGAGCCTCCACCTGGGCCCCCCTTCTCTTTGGCCTGCCTCTCTCACACCCCAGAGCCTCACAGGATGAGTTTGTGCTCTCCAGGGCATCTGTTAGGATGTTTGATTGCCCACGACGCTGGGCTGTCCCAGGTCCCCTGAGAACTGGGTCAGGATGCCGCAGCCTCTCCTCCTCCTTCCAATGGTCCCCTAACTCCCTTCACTGTCCCCCTAGGCTTGCGGGGTGCCATCCCCTATGCCCTGAGCCTGCACCTGGACCTGGAGCCCATGGAGAAGCGGCAGCTCATCGGCACCACCACCATCATCATCGTGCTCTTCACCATCCTCCTGCTGGGCGGCAGCACCATGCCCCTCATCCGCCTCATGGACATCGAGGACGCCAAGGCGCGTCGCCGGAACAAGAAGGATGTCAACCTCAGCAAGACAGAGAAGATGGTTAGTGCGTGGTGCCTGGAGCAGGGCAGAGGGTTGGTCCCCACTGACTGCAGGAAACGGGGAAAGGAGAACAATTTGAGGATGCTCAGCACCTACACACACACCCATGTACATGCAGTTGCCCAACCTGACTAGGGGGTGAACTAAGGTTCTGAAGCTTGGCTCTTTGTGGTGGCTCATCTGCCAGCCTCGTGGCCTGGTGCAGCCATGGAGGTCAGGGGTGGGGAGTGTGGACATGTATCAGACTCTCCCAGCAACACTCCTCCCCTGCCAGGAACCGCCCACCCCATCAGGGCCCAGGACTGGAAGGTTTCAAAATCCTATCATTCCCCAATGTCTGCTGAATGCCTCCTATTGGGGCTGGAGTGGAGGAAGGTGCTTACAGTGGCTTTGAGGGCCATGAGAGAGGTGTCCTCCACCAAGGCCAGACAAGGGCCTGGTTGGGGCTGGGCACCCAGAGCCCAGCTGCAGTGAACCTGAGGCCCCCATACCACTGCCCACCTCTGTTCCTCCAAGCCACCCTCCTGCCCAGCAGTGCTCCTGCCTGTGGGCCGCCACTCCCAGGTCAGCTGTGGTCATGCCTTTCCTGCCCTGTGTCCTCCTCAGGCCCATGTGTTGAGCCAGACTCTGACAGGAGCAGAGGGCGCCCTAGTCTCTCCTCCCACCTCTGTGCACCCACCATTCCCCCACACAAATGTCCAGAAATGCATCTTTTTCTAGTTGCCTTATTCGAGGCCATCGGTCACTTGAATTAATCTTGGATGGCACAGAGATCCTCAACCAGGAGACAGGGAAGGGGATGCGCTCACTTCTCCTGAGAGTCTAGGTCTGGGCAGGTCTCGGCCTCCAGTCTCTGCACTGCTGGAAAGGAACTTTCAGATGGCCTCACGCTGGGCTGCTCAGCCTTCCTCCTCCCAGCGGTCTTTCTCCCCCACCCCCACTCACCAATTTTGTTGTTTTTTAATCCTCACCCGAGGATATGTTTATTGATTTTAGAGAGGGAGGAAGGGGGGGTGGGGAAGAGAGAGAGGCATTGATGTGAGAAACATCAATCAGTTGCCTCCCATACTTGACCTAACCTGGGATCAAACCCGCAACCTTCTATTGGTATGTGGGATGACGCTCCAACCAATTGAGCATCCAGCCAGGGCCAAACTTTGTTTTTAATAAAAGTTTTAGTGTAGGTTCTGAGACCTTTCAGTGGGGTCAGAATTGGTGAAGGGCTCCAGGGTCCTACAGGTCTGGGTGGGGCTAGAAAGAATTTGCATTTCTAACAGGTTGCCAGGTGCTGATCCTGCAGCCACACTTGGTGAATTTACCACCCTGGGCTCTAGAAGAAGCAGGATGTTTGCTCAGAGGAAGCACATGCTGTTCAAGGAATGTCCTGTGGCACTGGCACTGTGCTTGAGGCTCCTTAACTGTCTCCGGTCACCCATAACCAGCAGGAAGCAGAAGCTCTCATTATGCCATTTTGCAGATGAGAGCACTGAGGCACAGAGGCCAAATCACACAGCCAAGGTCACACAGACTCCAGAGCCTGCACTCTTACACCAGTGGTTCCCAAGGTGGGGCTGGACCAGCAGCATCACTGGGGACTTGTTAGGAATACAGAATCTTGGGCCCCATCCCAGACCTCCTAAATCAGCTCTGCAAGTGGGCCCAGCATTTTATGGATTCACAAGCCCTTCAAACCTGCACCAGCTCCCAGTGGAGGCCCAGTTAGCTGACTGCGGCTGGAGAGCAGCTCCTCTAGCAAAACAGCAAACAGTGTTCACAACCTGTATGGTCGGCTCTGCAGAGGCCTGGAGCAGGGCTGAGTAGATCAGTGAACCTGAGACCTCCTTGCCTTCCAGTCCTGCTCTGCGCCCTGTGCAGTCATTCTCTTCATTCCTCTCTGGTTCCCGCTGGGATTGTGTCTGAGTCTCCTGTCCTCCCACTACCCTCACCCTCCACTCCCTGGCACTGATCTGCACATTAAAATCCAGAAGCTTACAATCCAGGACCAGCCCCAGCCCAGAACTTCTGATTTATTCACAGTTCTCATTTATTCCTGGGTATCCATCATGTTTTTACAAACCTCCCTACCTCCCTACAGGCTCCCAGGAAGCCCTTTGCTACCCACAGACACACTGCATTGATTAGAAAGTGCAGTTAGGGTTGGGGACACTGGTGGCCAGGGTGAAGGGGTGCTAGGTAGGCTGGGTGGTGTGGGGGCTTCCAGGAAGATGTCAGCCCATCTACCGACCCTCAGCTGCCTGCCTTCCTCCTCAGGGCAACACAGTGGAGTCGGAGCACTTGTCGGAGCTCACCGAGGAGGAGTATGAAGCCCACTACATCAGGCGGCAGGACCTCAAAGGCTTCCTGTGGTTGGATGTCAAGTACCTGAACCCCTTCTTCACACGGCGGCTGACCCAGGAGGTGGGACACAGGCCAGGGCCACATGGCCAGGGGTCTCTTGCCTTCCTCCCTCAGAACCTGCAGTGGCCAAGAGTGGGGGACAGAGAAGGCCCACGTGCTGTGTTGGGGAGAGGCAGCCAGGCCGTCTCCTCCCACTTGGCTCTCCTTCCCAGGATCCCATCTGCTGTTTTTCCTTTGCTACCGGATTTAGTGCTAGTTTAATAATAGACTTGCTAACACAGTTTGCTTTTCCTGGATGATAAGACTCGGGACATTGATCAGCTACTGAATCTGAGCTGAGGAATTTCAGACATGCCAGGACCGCAGGCAATGTCCCAAGGCTCAGGCTCTTATTCCGTCCTTCCAGCACTGCAACCTCTGGGTGCCAGGCAGTTTAATGGGGACCAGCTTGGATCTACTTTGCTGAACAGGTCATCTAGCCCCATGCAGGCCTTTGGGGTGGGGTTCTCCTGGCTGTAGTCCCCCTTTGTCTCTGAGCCCTATTTCCCTCCTCTGACAGTCACGATGCTGTATTTAGGCTCTTACTACCAGCCAGGTGCCACACCAAATGGTGTTCATGATTGCTTCGGTTCATTCTCCCAACAACCCATGCAGCAGATGCAGCTGATATCACACTTGACAGCTGAGGAAGCTGAGGCCCAGAGAGGTGAGATAGCCCCCTGAGGTCACACAGCCAGTGCAAGGCCAAGCTGGGAGTAGAGCCCGAGTGTGTCTGATTCCAGAGCCACTGTTTTTTAACATCATGCCATCCTGCCTCCTACTCCTCCTGTTTCTGAGTGACACCTCCTGTTATCTCCACGCCCACAAAGAAGAACCTTAGCTCAGTTACTTAACACTTTAAGATTATTTGTGGCTCTGTACCCTGCCTCCTATCCTCTCCTCCCCACCACACACACACACACACACGAGACACAAAGCAGCTCCTCTCCTTTCCTTGACCCTGACCCTCTGGGTTGCTTGTATTCTGCCTCAGGACCTCCACCACGGGCGCATCCAGATGAAAACCCTCACCAACAAGTGGTACGAGGAGGTGCGCCAGGGCCCCTCGGGCTCTGAGGACGAGGAGCAGGAGCTGCTGTGACCAAGCAGGGCCTCCCCACATCCCTGGGATGGACACCCAGCAAGGGCCCTGAGGTGCGTGCATTTGGCAGCCTCTTCAGGAAGATGAAAGCAGGGTGGAGCCAAGATGCTGCCTTCTTTACCCGGACCATCCAGGCCAGCTGGCTTCTTCTGAAACATGTCATCTCCCACTCCTCACCCAGCCAGACCTCTGCTCACAGCGTCACGTCCAGCCTGCAGATTAGATGGAAACCTGTCCAGGTAAATGTTTCCTTTTGCTTCTGCAGCCAAGGCAGACAGTCATCTGTCCATCCCAGGTGCCTGCGAGGAGGAATCCTGTTGTGGCAGCTGCTGTGACTGGGTACCCTAGGGGCACGCAGAGCCAGGAGCCAGCTGCCAGTTTCCTTATCATCATCAAGGTGCCTTGGGCCTCAGCATCAGCAGTTCTGACCTACGTGGCAGGCCCAGAAACCTTGGAAACCTCACACTCCCCTTTGTGATGTTGCTTGCACACCCTGAGAAAGAAAAACAGTGACCTTTTTCTTCTTTACCTCTGACTGGCACCTCGAAGGCTGTCTCCCTGGGTGACAGGCAGCCACTGCCTTCTCTGGGAATACTGTGAATGTTTACGCTGGTAACCAGCACGTAGGCACAGGCCTTTCTTTGGAGCCCCTCTGGAAGCTGCATCGCTGGTTTTGGGGTGAGTGGGCCTATTTTGTGGTGTCAGAGCGCCCTCTAGAGGACAAATCTAGCAGTACAGTGCTTAGGCAGGCCAGCAACTTCTGAATTTAGTTTAAATTCATGCACTTGAACAAAGTGATGTGTCCAGAGACCCCTTTTCTTGGGCTCCATGGGGTCTGCCCACCATTTACTTGCTGCCACCTTCACAGCTAATCAGCATTTCCTCTTCCCAAGTCTCTACTGTTTGGGGTCCCACTTGTCCTCCATGCCAGGGTCCCAGTTCGCCCAAGCATGGCCTGCATTCACATGCATCCGATCCCCACCTAAAATCCCCAAGCAGCCACTGGGACCCGAGGACCTGTTCCTCCCATCTGTCAGAGTGCTTACACTCTCGTACACATACCCCGCCCTGACTTCATGGGCCTGGCCCCCGGGCCTCTGAGGGCAAGGAGCTGCCAATCATGTCCAGATGATATGGAGTTAGTGACTCTCACATCCACTCCTCACCTACCCTAATTTAACAAGCCTCGTGCCTGCTTGCCATTGCCCATCTATGGGCTGTTTGGGCATTTCCATGTGTGGCTCAGGGTCCCAGCCGGAGCTGGGACTTAGCACCCTCTGGGTGATTTAACTCATCATGTGCATGTGCTTGGTTCTCTGTGGGGACCCAGTAGGCCAACATGGGCCCTGGCTGGCAGCACATATGTGTCCATCTCTTCTGCCTCAGGCACATGGCCCTGGGCGTCAGGAAGGACTGACCTTGGGGCCCTTAGGACTCATGTCCAGCCCTCAGGCCAGGCCCCTTTCCTGACGCCTTCCCTTGCCCCAGAAGTGCAAGTTGTAAGGCCAGCCAGGCAGGAAGCACGAGGTGTCCTTTTTATGCATGAAAAGTAAAAATGTACTTTATAGAGCTAAAATATGAGCATTTTTGTTTTTGTAATTTCCCCCCTTAACCCAATAATTTGAGCCAAACAGGATTCTTTTACTCCACCTGATACTCCCACTGGAGGAGTAATATGTGCATAATTTTCTTACTTCCTTTTAGTGGAAAAGTAAGAGAAGAGGTCAAAGAGGGAGAGACCTTAGTCCATATGAGATGGGGGGATAGGCAGGGATCATATTGTTCTCTCATCCCTCAACTCACAAGTAATTTACTTTCTGCCCTAAAACTCAGGGTCCGATCTCAGAGGTGGAAGTCGCATTGCAAACTCAGTATCTTGCCAGGAAAAAAATTTTTTTAGTTCATAGAGTAAGCAATGAAAATAGGTCCTTTTCCATTCAGACTGCTTCTTGCCACCAGGTCCTGCCTGGCCTCCCACTTTTAGCCGAGACCTGAAAATGACACTACGGTAGAGAAGTATGTGGGGGAGTTGGTGGAAGGTCCCCAAGGCTTGGCTATGGGGTCTGGAGCACCTTTCCTGGCAGGTCCCAGCACGAGTCTGGATCTCCTGTGGGCCGCTTCTGTTCCTCAGCAGTCTGGCTGGTTGGCTAGTCACCTTTGGAACAGGCAAACGCCCACAAAGAGGCATTTTTCTGGTGGTTTTTCCACATGTCTTTGCCTGAGAATAAAAAATTGCTTCTGTCTACCTTTAGCATATCTAATAATTATATTATTTGGTGTAATAAATGCCTAGATTTTAAAAATCCAGCATAACTTTGACTTTGTGCATATTTATTTTCTTTTAGGTCTAGGCCATGGATAGGAGAGCTATATATAGCACATAGAGAAGGTAAACTTTAGAGTGAGGTGAAGGCTGCGAAGTCAGTGCCTTTGGAGAAGCTGGCCGTTTAGCCAGAAAATTCAGAAAACATGCCTGCCCTGTGGAGCTGGGGAAAGGAGCTGGCTTTCCCTAGGTCTCCAGAGACCAAGCTTGGGCTGGCCTGGGCCAGGCAGAAAGTGGCTCAGTTCCATAGTCTGATGCTCAGACCCTCAGCCTAGAGGCAAAACTGAGACCTCCCACCCTCAGGCCAGCCACCTCTTTTCACAGTGGGAATGTTGACCAAGCCCTGGTTGTTGTGAGGACAAGGGGCAAGGCCTGGCCAGAATGTTGGCAGCCCGACTCCCCCAAGTCAGCCCAGACAGGCTGTAATTTGCCTGCAGATTCCTTTGTGTGAGTGGAATGCAGAAAGATTGGTGAAAGGGAATCCTTCTCTCCTTAAAACCCACATCACAGATGCCATCAGCAAGACTTGGCCTCTAAGGTCTCAGTTCCACATTCCCACAGGTGCCCACACACTTGGCAAAGTCCTCAGTGGGGTGGCACGGACAGGATCCCACTTCTGCTTTGGCGGGAGAGTCAGGGTGGGCAGGGTGGTGGCCAGCTTTTCCTCAGCCAAGTCCTGGCCATCAAGTTGCAGCCTGGCTTGGGGTGGATCTGTTCTTAGAACTGGTCCCTGATTGAAGTGTGAGAAGGAATCTCTCAGCAGCAAGGCTCTGCCTTTGACTAGAGCTTTAAATGAAAAAAGAGATCCTCCCCCTATTCCCTCTAGAATGCAGGCATCTGTTTCTCCTGCTGGTTGGTAAGTAGGAAATCAAATCTGAAATGTTCCTGATACAGCCGCCAGGATCATTAAGATGTTCAACCAGGAACCCAGTTCCCAAGGCCCGAGGCCATATGTTTTCAATGAAAACACCACAATCAGAGTAAAGGCCTAAAGGGGAAAAGTAGCCACTCCCCCTTCCATTTAAGCTTCTGCCATTTCTCACACAAATGGAGTTGTGTGTTTTTTAATCCTTACCCAAATATATGTTTTTCCTTAATCCTAGAGAAAGGGGAAGCGAGAGGGAGAGAGTAAGAGAATTAAACCCGAGACCTGTGGTGCACGGGACAACACTCCAACCAACAGAGCCACACTGGCTAGAGCTGGAGTTAGATATTCAGGGACTTCACTGGCCATGTGTCAAAAGGAGGAAGATTCTAATTTCCTCTGATCCAGTCATCCCACTGGCCCATCCTGTTTTCCATCCTTTCCCACCCCAGCCAGCATTATCCCAGACGGGAAGAAAAAAAAAAAACTTAGCCTTTCTTAACGGGAGTTGGTGTCTTCCCAGGCTGCTCTGCAGGACCTGCCTGAAGTGGGTGAGAGAGAGAGCCGAGTGCCTGAGTGCGGTGCGGGGATGAACGGGGATATGCAGGTCACCTGTGGGCCTTCAGCCACATGAAGAGCCTGTTAGCATATTCCTGGTGCTCACTGCTACAGTCCCAGCCCTGCTCTAAGGAACAGGGGGCACACTAGCCAGGGAAGTCTACTTGCTGGGGAGCTGTGAGGTTTCTGGCTTACCAAAGGCTTTAACGTTTCCTCCAAATAACAACTCCTGCAAAGCTTGATTTGTCCTCAAGGTGAATCCGAATCATGTAGGGTTTTTGTTTTTATTTTGAGAGAAAGATTGATCTGTTGTTCCACCCACTCATTCATGTATTCATTAGTTGGCTCCTTGTATGTGCCCTGACCAGGGATCAAATCCGTAGCCCTCGGGTATCAGGATGATACTCCAACCAACTGACCCACCCACCCAGGGCAGAATCCTGTATTTTTTTTAAAAGCAATTTTCTTTGTCAAAATGAAGGATTTGTTATTTATTTTAAGGACCACTTGGAAGGTCAGGCTTACTCTTTTGTCATACCCCATGTAAGCTGTGAGAAGCATTTGTTAGGTCCTAGTTCCTGAGAAATGATTCGCTGCTCTTCTTGATGGGGCTTCAGAGTGTGTAGAGGAAGATGGGTCAGTGATGGGGGGACCTGGGGACTTTAGCATCAGCCTGGTCCTGGGGACCTGGTCCTCTGCACACGGGCAGATTTCAGATGATGCCCTGATACAAATGGGGAAGAAAATAGGGCTTTGCTTACCAAAAAGAAAAAGGGGGGCGGGGGGCGGGGAGCCACAAAAATGTAGTTGGTTTACACTGTGGCAAAGTGAAGTCCTACTTGCTGGTGGGAGGGCCAGCTGGTTCAATCTTTTTGGAGGATGATGTGGGGACACCTATCAAAAGCCTGTAAGTGTCCCATGCTTTGACGCAGCAGTTTCAAATGGTTTGAAAATTTTTTAAAGGGATAACATTTCATGACATGAAATTTATATGAAATTCAAATGTCAATGGCCATAAATAAAGTTTTGAATTTTTTAAAGCTTGTTTTCTCTAATTAAATAAGTACCTACTTTTTTTTTTTTTTTTTTTTGCCTCTTAGCTCCCAAAGCTGAAAATATTCACACTCTGGTCATTTACAAAACAAGTTTACCTACCCCTGGCCTACCCTAGAGAAATTCTTTTTCTCTTTATTTTTCGTTGTTGTTAATTCTCACCCAAGGATATTTTTCCTTTGATTCTTAGAGAGAGTGGAAGGAAGGGGGAGACAAAAAGAGAGAAGCATCGATGTGAGAGAGACACATTGATTGGTTGCCTCCCATTTGCACCCTGACCAGGGCAGGGATCAAGCCTGCAACCAAGGTACATGCCCTTGACTGGAATCAAACCTGGGACACTTCAGTCTGTAGGACAACACTCTATCCACTGAGCCAAACCAGCCAGCACTTTTTTTTTATTTTTGACTACAGGCCCAGTGCACAGATTCGTGTACCAGTGGGGTCCCTCGGTCTGGCCTGCACCCTCTTGCAATCTGGGACCCCATGGGGAATGTCAGATAGCCAGTTTTGGCCCCATCCCTGCAGGTCCAATCCAGACAGGACAGAGCCCAATCCAGTGTGTTGACTGTCTGTCCCCTAGTGGTCAATGCACGTCATAGCAAGCAGTTGACTGATTGTTCGGTCACTTGGGCTTTTATATATTTAGATTTTAGAGGAAGAGGAAGGGAGAGGGAGACAGAGAGAAACATTGATGTGAGAGAGAAGCATCAATTGGTTGACTCCCATATGCACCCCGATCAGGGATTGAACCCACAACCTGGGTATGTGCCCTGACTGGGAATTGAACCTGCAGCTTTTTGATATACAGGATGCTCCAACCAGCTGAGCCACACTGGCCAGGCCTAGAGAAATTCTTACCCACTCATGCATTAGGAGACACCTACAAGAATATCTGTAATAGCAAGATGTTGTACACAAGCTAGATCAGGGGTGGGCAAATTTTTTGACTCAAGGGCCACAATGGGTTCTTAAACTGGACCGGAGGGCCGGAACAAAAGCATGGATGGAGTGTTTGTGTGAACTAATAAAATTCAAAGTAAACATCATTACATAAAAGGGTACGGTCTTTTCTTGTTTTAGTTTTATTCATTTCAAACAGGCCGGATCCGGCCCGCGGGCCGTAGTTTGCCCACAGCTGAGCTAGATGATTGTCACTACAAGAATGGATAAACTGTGACACAGTAATATAGTGGAATACTATACAGCAGAAATACTATCCATTAAGAATGGATAGACAAATGTACAAAACCAGAATGAACATATTAACAGATAAATCTCAGACTCAATCTTCAGCTCAAAGCAAGCTGCAGAAGAATGCAGGAGAGGAAGTACATATAAAACCATGCAGAACAACGCTGTGGAACAGTGGTGCTCACGACTGCAGACAACTTAGAAGTGTGAAGAAAGGCTTCACACCCAACACCAGGACCCTGAGCCCTCTGGGGTGGGGGGTGGGGGGGAAGTGAGGAACTGCATTTAAACCACATTCCACCCACCCTGGCTTCACCTGTATCCCTGATTTTTCATTTCCTAATAGAGCAGTGAGCAACCGGTTCAGCGTATGTGCAAAATGTGCAAACCTGCACATGCTCCTCATGCTCTCTGACTTCAGTCCTTTGCCCCAGCTCTGGTGAATAACAGACACTCTCCAGGGGCTGTCCCAGGCCCATGACGCCCTCACATCAATCAGGATTAGCTTTAGTCCTGGGTGACAAAATCAAAATTAGTAGTTGCTTCCCTGGAGTCTTTGAGAACCAGGATTCTCAGCATGGCGAGAAAAAGACAAATGAGGTTACGTGGAAACTCTGTGGTCCTGAATTCTAATTTAAGGCATAAATATGATCTTGTATGTTGGTGTTTTTAAATTGTCAACCTATTCCTACCTCTACCCATTGAAAACACCTAGAAACAGTGACCATCCCAGTGGCATTCAGCCCCCCGAGTGCTCAGAATATGGTCTCCAAATGTCATTTCACAGTGAAGGGCCTCAGGGCTCTTTGGAGAAACATCTGATTCCAGGACTGGGGCAGGACATGTACAGGCTGAAGCTGAAGCACCCTCTCATATCAGACAGGAAGCAATCAGAGATTTCAAGGTCATGTCAGGATTCAGGAGCCAACTTGAGGAGGTTCCTACTGGCTAAAGATGGGAATTTGAGCCGTAGCCAGTTTGGCTCAGTGGACTAAAGAGTCACGGGTTTGATTCCAGTCAAGGGCTCATGACCAGAATGTGTCTCTCACATTGATGTTCCTCTCGCTGTGTCTCTCCCCTCCCATTCTTTCTAAAAATCAATGGAAAAATATCCTCGGGTAAGAATTAACAAAAAGGGGGTGGGTGGGAATTTGAGTATCAGTAACAATAATAATGCACTGAAACAAAAAATATACTGAAATCAACGAGTTCATAATAATTAAAAATTAGTCACTCTTGGGGGATTCAAAGGCATCAGCTCATTATTGTAAGTAAAACTAAAAGGAAAGAATTAAGCATTTGTCCTGCCTTTCTTATACC